AATTAATAAGGAATGTTTGTCTTGAATACAGCACTCATATAAAGAAATATCTTACAAAAAATTAGGTATATGATCTTAATCTGAGGATAGTTCATTTAAAACAGAGCTAAAAACTTTTGAGGGCAGTGAGCCTAAATCAAAGGTGACCAAACAACATGGGTACAGATCATGCGACTGGTGACACTATGTGAAGTGTGTAACCAACGTCACTGGGCTGTTCATGTAAAATTTGTGAACAGATGTAGGCTTGTTTGGTCATGCATATTGCCACCTAAAAATTTTTAAGGGGAGTAGGGTCTTATACCTAGCCTCAGCCCACGTTCCCCGAATCGCTCTGCTAGCTGTGTGCAGACCAGTGTGAAAGAAATGAGGAGGAGGAGGCATGGAGCAGGGCGACAGGCTGTGCATCCTAAAGCATTGCCCAGAGAACCCTAACTGCAGGGGCTCGCCACGACAGGGTCCCAGGATGAGCCCCCTTGGGGACTACTAGCTGTTATGTCCTCTTCGTGCAAGATCATACTGACACACGAGGAACTCTAAAAAGTCAATCAGAAAATACACCTGTTGAGTGTTCACTGGACCACTGCTTCCAAAATGTATTTTGACCATGGAGTCTTAATTTACTGCACAAATACATTCATATCCTGAGACATATTTTGCCACTACTTTAGTAGTAGCTAAATGGAAGCAATTTGTTAGTTACCTTAGTATCTTCAAGTAGGTGTATAACTTGCTGTCAACTAACAACAAGAAGTACATCTCTTCAGCTAGAAAGATGAATCGGGCTTGTTAATAGGTCTTGTGTGGGAACGTTAGAAGCCAGTAGAAAATGCAAGATCCTAAAGGAAATGTAGCATTGAGGCTCACTACCATGCACTGACTGTAACCATCATCCCAATCGCAGTTAGTAAGTCTGTAAGGAGCAGCAGCCTGTTTACTGAGAGTAGCATGGATTTAGACATTTATAACACAGATTTCATGAGTATAGAGATGCAAAGGAAGTTTTAACGATCTCTCTTAAGCAAGAAAATCACAAGCAATGGCTGCATTGCATCCATCACCCTTGAGATTTTTTTTAAAAACCCAATCACATACACTGCATGTGGCAGTTACATAATCTCTTGTCAACTTGTGAAGGGGGTGGAATCTAGCCTGTCAATCAGGTCAGAGCCTGATGACCTCATTTTGGAGGAGCAACAGAGACAAATAGCTCACTGGTGGCCAGATACACTCTCTCTCTGCTTTGTTTCTCTGCTACACATTCCTGTTGACAAGCCACATGGAACCATGCTGATGGCAGCCAGAGCCGTGGAGCTGGAGGAGCCATATGGAGACCCCTGACAGTGCTCAGATGTTTCCACCACCACTGGATCCACAAGACTTTCCACCCACTGGCCCATGATCTTCCTGCATTCGGCCTCATTACATGGCTGCCTGGGTCAAAAGAGGAATCATGGACTAGTATCAACATATGGGGTAAATTGGACTTAGAGACTTGATCTGGACTGGGTTGGGATGTTTTTTAATGTACAATTGCTCTTTGATAAAAAGTTTTTACACAAGAGTGTCTATGAATTTCTTTCTCTAGTCAACCCAGACTAACACACTGTAGATAATTGCCTAAAATTGTTTCAAAGGCAGAAAAAGGGTTGGGAGAAGTTTACACAATATCAGTGAGGAAATAATAATGGCTAACACACATAAAGATATTTACTTGCGTTTTATTGACTATGCCTATGTGGGTCATAAACTATGGATAAGCCTCAAGAAGAATGGGAATTCCAGCACACTACATTGTGCTCATGTGGAACTTGTACATGGATCATGATGTGGTTGTGTGAACAGAACAAGGGAATACTATGTGGTTTAAAATCAGGAAAGGTGTATGTCAGAATTGTATCCTCTCACCATACTTGTTCAATCTGTATGCTGAGAAGCAATGATGGGGCTTCAAAGGCTGCGAACATGTCCAAGTGACCTTGGGCGGGTCGTCTCCTCCCCGAGCCGCAGTTTCTTCAGCGGCAGAGCAGAGTTGACAACACTTGGCTTCAGAAGTTTGATGGGAGGTGTCTGAAGCCACAGCTGGATCGAGACTACAACAAGATGGCTGACCAGGACCCGGGGGGCATTAGCCCCCTCCAACAAATGGTGGCCTCTGGCACTGGAGCAGTGGTCACCTCTCTCTTCATGACGCCCCTGGACGCGGTGAAGGTGCGTCTGCAGTCCCAGCGCCCCTCGG